GCACTCACCCCCCTGGCTCAGGTGGCTCTGCTGCACCTGCACACAGCGCAGTTCCTCGTTGGCCTCGCGCAGCGCGTCCCGCTCCTCCAGCAGCCGCTGCGGGGACACCACAGGGTCAGGACAGTCCCCAGGTGTGTCCCCAGGGGTGTCCCCAGCTGTCCCCAGCTGTCCCCAAGCCACACCCACCTCCTTCTCCTGGCTCAGGGCCTCGAAGCGCTCCTGCAGGTGCCGGAACTCCAGGTGCCATTTCTCAGCGCTGAGCGCCGCCTCCTCCCGCTGCCCGCTCAGCTCCTCCACCTGCGCGGGGTCACCCATGGCTGCTATGTCCCCAATGTCCCCAATGTCCCCAGGGTGTCCCCAATGTCCCCCAGAATGTCCCCAATGTCCCCAATGTCCCCTGGATGTCCCCGATGTCCCCTGGATGTCCCCAGGGTGTCACCCAGAATGTCCCCTGGGATGTCCCTGGGATGTCCCCGGGATGTCCCTGATGATGCTCCCAATGTCTCCAATGTCCCCCAGGGTGTCCCTGATGTCCCCCTGGATGTCCCTGGGACGTCCCCTGGGATGTCCCCCAGTATGTCCCCAGAATCTCCCCAATGTTCCCTGGGATGTCCCCAGGATGTCCCTCAGAATGTCCCCAATGTCCCCTGGGATGTCCCCAATGTCCCTCGAATGTCTCCAATGTCCCCCTGCATGTCCCCGATGTCCCTCAGAATGTCCCCTGGGATGTCCCCGATGATGTCCCCAATGTCCCCCGGGGTGTCCTCAATGATGTCCCCAATGTCCCTGATGTCCCCAGAATGTCCCCTGGGATGTCCCCAGAATGTCCCCTGGGATGTCCCCAATAACCCCCAGGATGTCCCCGATGATGTCCCCACTATCCCCCAGGCCATCCCCATGCCCCGCCCCCCGTGGCCCCGCCCCCTCACCTGCCTGCGGGCAGCCTCCAGCTGTGCACAGCTGGCCTGGGCCCGGCCCAGCTGTTGCTGCAGATGTGCGGCTCTGCGCACCTGAGCGGCGTGCC